GGCACAAAGACCGGCGGCGTGGCGAGCTTGGGTGGCGGTGGGGGAGGGAGCGCCGTCACTTTGGCCTGGGGGAAAGGTGGCGGGCCATGTGTGCCCATTGGTTCTAGGAGTACAGGTGGGACCTGCATCCAAAGCGAGCCATCTGGCGCAGTGACCAAAGGCTGTGACATCTTTGCTAGACCGCCTTGAGCGTGAAAAATGCAAACTGCATGGCAAGATGCAAGCACTCCTCGAAAAGAATTCAATTGATGTCATGATAGAAAAATATTGCTTGGAACTGCCCGGGAAAATGATTTGTCAATTCGCCCAACGTCAACGCAGGCGTCAGGCATCAATGCATCACTGGAAAGTAACCAAGCCAGGCGCACGCTCCTGCAATAATAAAGTGCAGCCAGATGACCACATTGGGCCTGAAGCAAATCCGAGCGCAGTTCTAGGACTGTTCCCACTGCACAGCAACAGCAGGTCCACGCCAGCCTTGAGGGCAAAGCCTAGCGAGCACACTGAAGGTCCAGCAGCCACGACTTTGGACTGGACAAGCAGAGGCCTGTTGAGGAGTTTTACAAAGCCAGCAAAAGTCTGCAAGAAATTGCAAGACCTCGCTGGCCTCAACTACTCAAGGCAGACCCAAAGACAGTGTAAGACCTCGCTGGCCCCGAGGCACCAGCGGAGGCTGCACCGTTGCTGGCCTCGGCGACGCCAAAGCCAGCAGAGGTTGTGAGACCTTGCTGGCCTTGAGCCCAAGGCCAGTAGAGGAGACCTCGCTGGCCCCGAGGCAGCCCCAAAGCCAGCAGAATGCCAGCACAGTTTGCAACACCTCGCTGGTTTCAAGGCAGCCCCAAAGGCAGCAGAGGTTCCAGGATTTCGTGGGCCGCAAGGCGACACCACAGCCAACGTAGGTTGCAAGACCTCGCTGGCCTCGAGGCAGCCAAGCCAGCAGAGGTTGTAAGACCTTGCTGGTCTTGAGGCAGCCCCAAAGCCAGCAGAGGTTGTAAGACCTCGCTGGCCTTGAGGCAGCCCCAAAGCCAGCAGAATGCCAGCACAGCTTGCAACACCTCGCTGGCCTCAAGGCAGCCTCAAAGCGAGCAGAGGCCACTTGCTCAGCCCCAAGACCAGCAGAGGTTGCAACACCTCGCTGGCCTCAAGGCAGCCCCAAAGCCAGCAGAGGTTGCAGGACCTTGCGGGCCGCAAGGTGACACCACAGCCAACGTAGGTTGCAAGACCTCGCTGGCCTCGAGGCAGCCCCAAAGCCAGCAGAGGCTGCAGGACCTCGCTGGCCTCAAGGCAGCCCCAGCCAGCAAAGGTTGCAAAACCTTGCTGCCCCCATGCTTCACCAACAGCCGGCCTCAAGGCCAATAAAAGTCACTGGCCTCAAGGCCCAACATGACTGGACAGGCATCATCCAACTCAATCTTGCAGGACCAAAATGACCAGCATGCTTGCAAGCAGACCATGCAAGGCACGCCTCATGTAATGAAGGCCTAACAACTGCTGTCCCCAAGGCCTGGCTGCAAGACAAAACGGCCTGGTGCGCAGGCACACTTGTTACAAACACATGCCTCAGACACTCAAATGCGCAAGCGTCATCTCTCGCACCTAAGACCAGATTGTTGCCTGATGTGGGGCCTCGAAGCACAGTCAACACAAGAAATGCTCCACGCACTGCACAGCCTAGACCTTGTGAGCGCTTAGAATCCAGCCAAATGCCCCAGCATACCTGGGCCGGTTCACTTGCCAAGTCAACTTGCCAAGCCTGAGTGCGCCTGAGCGTGAGGCTGAGCGTGAGGCTGAGGCCAGGCACAAGTCCTGCAGCTTTGTTTGTCACCATGGCCATATGACGTGGGATATTCTGACCCCTGATCTACTGACCAAACACCGCTGATTTAAATATAGCTTGGGGAGGGGTGGTAAGCACAGCCAGCAATCAGGCATTATTTTGAGCACCCACACTCGTCGTGAAACTTTCGGACCAGTGATCCGTGAGGAAAAGCGAGGTGAGACCCGGAAGATCCACATGCCTGCTGCTTGCGAAACCACCTGCTATTTGGACCGACGCTTTTGGTCTGAGACTGGGCGCAGTTGATTAAAGGCCTTTCTTAGCCGGGGCAAGCATGTGGATGGCAGACCGGTGTGCGGCAAAAAGAGGCCACAGCAGCCTCAGGCCTCAGGCCAGGCCGGCTTGGCTTTCACTGGTACTGGTGGCGGTGGCTTCGGGGCGCTGGACTTGGGCGGCGGTGTGTGCGGCACAATGAACTTGACCGCCGGACCAGGTGCACCTGCTCACAGCTTCGAACTTCAGAAAACGGCTTTGCTAATGACACTGCAGCATGATGCTTCTGTGACACAACCTTGCCTCCTTGAGAAAGGCCAGCTTTCATCTGACCGCCAGCCGTCACAGGCACTGCCGGCAAATGACCTGTGACGTCAGAAGGGGCAGATGTCCGCACAAGAAACCAACTCGCCTGCGTCACGGCGTTCAGGAGCATTTGGCAGACCTCCTGCATTTGCAATCATGTTTGCTGGATTTGGGCCATGAGCATCGCACTTTACTTCTAAGCTGACAAACATGTCCACCATGACAAAGTCAGCACAAAAGCCCCTGCTGCTCCTGACTTCGGAGGCGCTGGAGGCCGCGGAGGTGGTGGAGGTGGTGGAGGGGCCGGCAGACCAAATCTCCCGACAGACCTTCGATGCTCCATCTGCTGGATGACCCTCTGGGCCTGCTCGACATCGCCCTTGGTGTGGGCCATTTGATATAAGGGGTTAAATAGCATAAATGTAATACGCACAACTTCTGCGCAGCCGAAAAAGACAATGCGGCCAAGATTCCGGGAAGTGCAGTGACCACCAGGCCAACTGGCTGGCCCCAATACCCAGCCAATTGCGAAGTACCTGAGATTCATGGCGAAATCGTTGCTGCATAGAACAAGCAAATCACACAACTCTCTCAATAATTAATCCCGTGCGAGACACTTCACAGACATGTCTGCGATGCTCGGCGCCTGCCGGGACCTCTACGGGGGGGTCGTAGGACAGAGGCTGGCAGGCGTGGCGAACGCCCTGAGCTCATTGTGGCAACATCCACATCGTCAAACAGAAGGCGCGAACAAGTGCCACATTCAGCTTGCCGCCAAGAAGCTGGATGCGACTCGGCCATGTAGCAAATGACCGTCCGCAGCAAGCAGTACTCCCGATGCAAGGCCTACCCGAATCATGGAACCAAATTTGATGAGATTACTGCCTCAATGACTGTCAACTCTATGTCACGCAGCCAAGGGGCCTCATAGTCCGATGGGCTGTCGCGTTCGTTTGGGGTGGAAGACCTTGCTGCTGGCTGGACCTCCGCCTTGGTCTGTTCGACCCTGGCCTCCTTTGTGGAGGTGGCCGCATGTTTGGCCGTGTCTTTGGCCCCGTGCTTGGCCCCGTGTTTGGCCCCGTGTTTGGCCGCAGGTTTGGGCTGTGCAGCTTCGGCCTTTCGTTTTCTGCGAGCAGCTCGGATGTGTGCATTGGGCTTCTTGCGATGTTTGCCCTTGTTTCTGTGGGCCCTGGGCTGACCGGTTCTAGCGCCTCGTGATGACCCGGATGACGAAGAGTCAGCCTGAGGGCAAGCGCGGCGCAAACGCAGCCAACTTGCAATCCCATATGATTATGTTGCAGGGGTCGGGTGATCCTTTTGGCTTAAAGCTTAAGTAAGCTTGGACCCACTCCCTCCAGGCCCGGCCTGGCCAACTGGGATCGCCGTTTCGGTTGGCGCGGGCGCTGAAGAGCAAGGCAGCTGCGTGACCTCCGTTGGGACCTCCGTGGCAACCTCCGGAACCACCTCCGTTGGAACCGGGGTTTCGTCGTCCGACATGGCAAGACCGAAGGACCGAAGGACCTAGAGTGCAAGCCAATGTCGGGACCTGGTTCGGGGCACCATGTCAGACCTGGTTCGGGGCACCATGTCAGACCATGTCAGACCACACATTCTGTCAATGGCTGCTGTGACCTTGACCAGATAATATGCTTGATCCGATGAATCATGCATGCTCTGCTCATTTGTGCTGCCAACACTGAGTCAAACCAAGTATGCCCCATGTCTTGCAATGCGAGTCAATCCCTGAAGCGGTCCTCGTCAAACGCAGAAGGCGAGCACGGCAACCTGCAGGCACAGCTGATTAAAATGAAACGCAAGGACATTGGACAAAACACGGGGCAAGCAACCCAGCCTTGACTCAACACTTGCCAGCCTGGAAGCCAGCAGCGGTCTTACATATGCCGGCCTCAAGGCCCAACTGGGCAAACAACATTCAAAATCAAAAGGACCCACAACCCTGCCTGCTTGCTTCCACGGCCAACTGGGCAAGCAACCCAGCCAGCCTCAAAGCCAGCAGGGCCTTGTAGACCCCGCTGACCAACTGCATGGTCAAGAAGCCCATCCACCTTGAAACCAGAAGATCCTGCTAACCCACCTTGCAACACTGAGTCAAAAATAATAGTGCAAGTGGAGCCTGCCCCCTCAAGCAGAAGGCCGAAGGCGACCTTGAGACCATGCCGACCTTAGCAGCAAGCACAGCTGAGAAAAATGCGACGCAAGGACATTGCAGAACACTATGACCTGGGGCAAGCAACCCAGCCAGCCTCAACACCTGCGAGCCTCGAAGCCAATGGACAAGCAACACAGGCAGCCTCAAAGCCAGCAAAGGTCTTGCAGACCCCACTGACCTTGACCAACTGCATGGTCAAGATCCCCGCCCAACCTCGAAGCCAGCAAGGGTCTTACAGACCCTGCTGTGCCTCCATGAACTGGACAACCAACCCAGCCAGCCTCAAAGCCAGCAGGGTCTTACAGACCCTGCTGGCCTTGAGGCCCAACTGGACAAGCAACCCAGCCAGCCTCAAAGCCAGACCCTGCTGCAACAGCAACCCAGCCAGCCTCAAAGCCAGCAGAAGTCTTGCAGACCGCGCTGGCCTCAAGGCCCAACCAACCAACCCAGCCTCCCAACTGAATCCAGCCAGCCTCAGGCCTCGAGGCCCAACTGGGCATGCAACCCAGCCAGCCTCAAAGCCAGCAAGGTCTTACAGACCCCGCTGGCCTCGAGGCCCAACTGGACAAGCAACCCAGCCAGCCTCAAAGCCAGCAGGGTCTTACAGACCCCGCTGGCCTCGAGGCCCAACTGGACAAGCAACCCAGCCAGCCTCAAAGCCAGCAGGGTCTTACAGACCCCGCTGGCCTCGAGGCCCAACTGGCCAAGCAACCCAGCCAGCCTCAAAGCCAGCAGGGTCTTACAGACCCTGCTGGCCTCGAGGCCCAACTGGACAAGCAACCCAGCCAGCCTCAAAGCCAGCAGGGTCTTACAGACCCTGTTGGCCTCGAGGCCCAACTGGACAAGCAACCCAGCCAGCCTCGAAGCCAGCAGGGTCTTACCGACCCTGCTCGCCTCGAGGCCCAACTGGCCAAGCAACCCAGCCAGCCTCAAAGCCAGCAGGGTCTTGCAGACCCTGCTGGCCTCGAGGCCCAACTGGATGACAAGCAACCCAGCCAGCCTCAAAGCCAGCAGGGTCTTACAGACCTTGCTGGCCTCGAGGCCCAACTGGACAAGCAACCCAGCCAGCCTCAAAGCCAGCAGGGTCTTACAGACCCTGCTGGCCTCGAGGCCCAACTGGACAAGCAACCCAGCCAGCCTCAGAGCCAGCAGGGTCTTACAGACCCTGCTGGCTCGAGGCCCAACTGGACAAGCAACCCAGCCAGCCTCAAAGCCAGCAGGGTGTAAGACCCTGCTGGCCTCGAGGCCCAACTGGACAAGCAACTCAGCCAGCCTCAAAGCCAGCAGGGTCTTACAGAGCCCAACTGGACAAGCAACCCGGCCAGCCTCAAAGCCAGCAGGGTCTTTAGACTGCGCTGGCCTCAAGGCCCAACTGGACAAGCAACTCAGCCAGCCTCACAGCCAGCAGGGTCTTACAGACCCCGCTGGCCTCGAGGCCCAACTGCAGCCAGCCTCAAAGCCAGCAGGGTCTTACAGACCCTGCTGGCCTCGAGGCCCAACTGGACAAGCAACCCAGCCAGCCTCAAAGCCAGCAGGGTCTTACAGACCCTGCTGGCCTCGAGGCCCAACTGGACAAGCAACCCAGCCCGCCTCAAAGCCAGCAGGGTCTTGCAGACCCTGCTGGCCTCGAGGCCCAACTGGACAAGCAACCCAGCCAGCCTCAAAGCCAGCAAGGTCTTTAGACCCCGCTGGCCTCAAGGCCCAACTGGATGACAAGCAACCCAGCCAGCCTCAAAGCCAGCAGGGTCTTACAGACCCTGCTGGCCGCGAGGCCCAACTGGACAAGCAACCCAGCCAGCCTCAAAGCCAGCAGGTCTTACAGACCCTGCTGGCCTCGAGGCCCAACTGGACAAGCAACCCAGCCAGCCTCAAAGCCAGCAGGGTCTTACAGACCCTGCTGGCCTCGAGGCCCAACTGGACAAGCAACCCAGCCAGCCTCAGAGCCAGCAGGGTCTTACAGACCCTGCTGGCCTCGAGCCAACTGGACCAGCAACCCAGCCAGCCTCAAAGCCAGCAGGGTGTAAGACCCTGCTGGCCTCGAGGCCCAACTGGACAAGCAACCCAGCCAGCCTCGAAGCCAGCAGATTCTTACAGACCCTGGCCTCGAGGCCCAACTGGACAAGCAACCCAGCCAGCCTCAAAGCCAGCAGGGTGTTCCCCGCTGGCCTCAGGCCCAACTGGACAAGCAACCCAGCCAGCCTCAGAGCCAGCAGGGTCTTACAGACCCTGCTGGCCTCAAGGCCCACCTGGACAAGCAACCCAGCCAGCCTCAAAGCCAGCAGGGTGTAAGACCCTGCTGGCCTCGAGGCCCAACTGGACAAGCAACCCAGCCAGCCTCAAAGCCAGCAGGGTCTTACAGACCCTGCTGGCCTCGAGGCCCAACTGGACAACCAACCCAGCCAGCCTCAAAGCCAGCAAGGTCTGTAGACCCGGCTGGCCTCAAGGCCCAACTGAGGGACAAGCAACCCAGCCAGCCTCAAAGCCAGCAGGGTCTTACAGACCCTGCTGGCCTCGAGGCCCAACTGGACAAGCAACCCAGCCAGCCTCAAAGCCAGCAGGGTCTTGCAGACCCTGCTGGCTCCTCCAACTGGGCAAGCAACCCAGCCAGCCTCAAAGCCAGCAAGGTCTTTAGACCCCGCTGGCCTCAAGGCCCAACTGGCAACCCAGCCAGCCTCACAGCCAGCAGGGTCTTACAGACCCTGCTGCCTCGAGGCCCATCAACTGGACAAGCAACCCAGCCAGCCTCAAAGCCAGCAGGGTCTTACAGACCCTGCTGGCCTCGAGGCCCAACTGGACAAGCAACCCAGCCAGCCTCGAAAGCCAGCAGGGTCTTAGACCCTGCTGGCCTCGAGGCCCAACTGGACAAGCAACCCAGCCAGCCTCAAAGCCAGCAGGGTCTTACAGACCCTGCTGGCCTCGAGGCCCAACTGGACAAGCAACCCAGCCAGCCTCAAAGCCAGCAGGTCTTTAGACCCCGCTGGCTCAAGACCCAACTGGACAAGCAACCCAGCCAGCCTCAAAGCCAGCAGGGTCTTACAGACCCTGCTGGCCTCGAGGCCCAACTGGACAAGCAACCCAGCCAGCCTCAAAGCCAGCAAGGTCTGTAGACCCGGCTGGCCTCAAGGCCCAACTGAGGGACAAGCAACCCAGCCAGCCTCAAAGCCAGCAGGGTCTTACAGACCCTGCTGGCCTCGAGGCCCAACTGGACAAGCAACCCAGCCAGCCTCAAAGCCAGCAGGGTCTTACAGACCCTGCTGGCCTCGAGGCCCAACTGGACAAGCAACCCAGCCAGCCTCAAAGCCAGCAGGGTCTTTAGACCCCGCTGGCCTCAAGGCCCAACTGGACAAGCAACCCTCAAAACCAGCAAATTCAAAAAATGGCTTGGTCAAAGTGGCACTGGTCATGTCAACGTGGCAAGCAGAGTAACATGCAGATCTTTGCAGTACATGTTCGTTCCTGGGGCAAGAAACGGTGTCTAGCATTGGCCCGAAAAATTCGTAAAAATGTGCCCCTTGAGCTTGCTATATTTGGATGTTAATTTACATCAACATGCAGATTCACAGGCACCCACAGACAGGCAACCATTCACACTACCACACACATGCGGCATTGTCAGACATTGAGTCACATGACCACGTAAACCCACACACACACACACACCCACACATACACTGCGCGCCCACACACGCACCCACACACACACACACAGACACACACGCACACGCGCACGTGCACGCACAGACACACACACACACACACACACACACACACACACACACACACACACACACACACACACACGATCAGCCTGGTAAGGCATGACAATCATTAGTGGAGGCCGCTGAGGCTCTGGCCAAGGCCCAGGGCGGCCGCAGCAGCTTGTCTACTGCTGGGAACCGGATTCTTAACCAACCTCAATAGATTGTCACTGTATACCATATATATATATATAATATAATATAGGTTATTATATATATTAGTATAGTATGTATATAAGCATACAATATAGTATACATGTATATTATAAATATAGGCCACTTGAGCCAAACAGCCACGAAGGGTTAGCCGAAGGGGGGGGGGTACCACGAACCTAGGCGAACGCGAGCCGGTGATCCCGACTTAGTGGTGACCCCCGTCGTTTGGCCCTGATTCGAAGGGCATCCAACTTAGATCCAAGGGATGTTTTCAGTTTTGTACGCATAATATTAACCCAGACCCCCCAGTGGTCCTGAGTGTGGCAAAACAAAAGGCAAGAAGAAAACCACTGGGTGTCTGCGCAAGACTACCTTGCCCCTTTTGCTCTCCTGGGATAATCGCACATACCGATCGGTGAGGGAACTCGTGGCAACCCAGTGACGTTGGCGGAAGGGGGGACCTCTTTGGATTTGACCAAACAAACAAATGAGTTCAAGGTGCCACTATAACTGGGACAAGGGCCTTGATGTTCCTTCATTTGCTTGAGTCCAGCAGAAAGACATCTCCAGCAGTGATCGATTGCCTTCAAACCAACAGAGGCAAACATTTATAAGTTCTTAAGCAAATGGAAGTGTTGCCAGAACTCTAGCAGCCTCATGTTAAGGGCGAAGGCGAGGGTCGCGCCATTCCCAATCAGATACTGGGTTGGTGTCACACAAGCACAGGCACAAACATTCGCACATCCCCTACTCATAAGGGGTGGGGGACCTGGAAAATGCACCTCGACATCCGGGAGCCAGGACATGACACAAAGCCTCCTTCAACCGCCAGAGCAGAAGGAATGAGTGCGCCTGTAAAGCTCAGCTTGGGCTGAAGACATCGACCCACTTAGGTGTTTTTTGACCTACATCTTGGAGAGCGTTGTTGGGTATCGTTATCCAGGCAAGACCACAAATGGAGCACCTGTGTGATACACCCTTGCATGCCCTCGCAGGACTCAAGTGATGGCTATTTACATATGAACCTAGTCGCAAACCTCCGCGCTCAACACCCAGCTGCTCAGCATTCGCTATCCGCTGCACGCAAGCGCTCTGCGCAGTCCTTCAAATCCGCTTACGCCCAGCGGCCGGAAGCAGATTTCGTGGTGCGACAGCAGGTTTCTGGCAAAAAATCCGCTAGCGCGCTGGCAAATCCGCTTACGCCCAGCGGCCGGTAGCAGCTTTCCAAAACTGGCGCGAGCGGCTTTCGGCCGCTGGGCGGCTACCGGCCGCTAGGCGTAAGCGGATTTGCCAGCGTGCTAGCGGATTTCAGGCTGGAAATTTGCTGCCGCGCCACGAAATCTGCTTCCGGCCGCTGGGCGTAAGCGGATTTGCACTTTTTCTTAACGCAATGGCTTAGCGATGCACTAGTCCCAAGTGCAACCAAAGGGTTCGAGACGCCACCGGGATGAAGGAATCCAACAAAGTAAAGAGATGCACGAGGAGTCAGGCGGCTGTTTTTTGCCCGCGCAAAAGAACTGCAATAAAATGCTAGACTTTCAACAAAGGTGGCGCCGGGGTGGCGCCAAGGATCACATGCTCTCACATACATGCTCTCACACTTGTTTCAACATGTGACCAGACATGATGGCAAAACAAATCTCATGTAATCTCACGAACAACGTATGATAGCGCACTATAGATTCTACGTGGGGAGAAAAGTGCATAAAAATAAAATGCATAAGGTACCTAGGTCCCCCCCCTAAATGCATTTTCCTAGAATGGGGGATATTCGCACAAACATGGCTTTGTCTCAAAATAGGGGAACCCCCACAACGGCAACGGTTTCCTTTCGGTTTCCCGGAAAAAGAAAAGAAACAAAAACTGAAAGGGGGTTCCCTTTTGCAAGACACACCCTCACCTTTGTGCGGATCTCGTCTTTGAGTGGCCGCGCTCGACCATACATTGGTGCTGCAGATTCCGGGGCGCGTCTCGATTCACCTCGGTCTCGACGGCGTGGCGTGGCTACACACGGAAAGGAAAGCCTAGGGAAGCGATACCAACTCCCCAAGGCAAGTGTTACATGGTTCAATGTTCAAGCCTTTCAGATCGCAACATCAATAATTTAAGTATCATCCAGAAGCGGCAGGCTCAGGCAACAAGTACATTGCACAAATGTTGCCTATCTCTAGCACTATAGTTCAATTTGGCAAAATCTCTTCGGGATGTCCAGCTAACTCCAAACACGACAAATCAACAGATTGGCGCTAGGCTTTTTGTGGTCGACATGTGCGCAAAATGAGAACTTGTCCGCCTATGTGCACTCATATTTCTGAGTGTTGATTAGTTGGGACAGTAACGTGCTGGTTGAGACATCTGCCGGCGCTCAACCTACGGTCGTGATGTGTGCTCACAACGTCATGACGAAGCATCAGAAAGAGCTTGATTGCTGGCAGCAATGTATTCGCCCGAGCACACTCTGTCTCCCAACCACAAAAGAGGCTCATGCCTAAGCCAAGGCTGTAAACGAGTCCAAATCGAATTGCTAAGAAGTTTTAGGTGTTGATTGTCCAAAAGGTCTACTTCCATGACTATTCCAGGAGTGGTCATCAACTCCCAAGCACGGCAAACACCTGCCAGTTGAAATCACCAGGGACAGTAGGGAGTCCCAAAAATAAAGTTTCGTGCAACATGGGACCCCAAACGCCCTCTTTTGGAGAGAAGTCTGCTTTTGGATCACTTGCTCTCCAACTCGCTCGAAATCTCAGCTGCCGGCCTTAGTGGCATGCCCGTTCTGCGTCATCAGCTCTTTGCAGAACACCGCCTGTGACTCGAACTGAGTGTCCATCGTTTGCGGGGGCCCTCAAACTACCCGGAAAAAATGGATGTGGACAATGAAGAGAAATCACCAATTGCGGGGGTCCCCCATGTTGAGACAAACCCAAACAAACGGACCTGAATTTCTGAGCCCCTTTATACTGACAGAATGGAGTTGCGGTTGCTGAGGGACACCAAAAGAACAACACCCATTTTGGGGGTCCCCAAATTCACACATACACAGTTATAGAAGTATATATATACATATATATATATATATGTTATGGGTGTCCTTTTCTGGGGGAACCCTATTTTGTATGGTTTTAAAACAACCGATTTGGGGGGTCCCCCCAAAAAATAGGATACACCCACGTATTCTTCTCTGTTAAAGTTTCATGACAATTTGAGATGGGCCTCACGAGAAGCTCCGTGAAAACCCCCGGTCGACACAAACACTGTCAGCCACCAACCTTCACGCCCTTGAGCTTGCCTCCAACAGCTTGATCTTGAACCTTCTTCCAACATGTTGTTATCCTGGCGATTTGAGTGTTTTCAGGTGCCTTCTTTGAACGCCAGCCCACTTGGGGGCTTCCATTTGGAGGCCAGTTTTGAGACAGCCCCAAGCAGAAATGCTCACAAGGGGTTGCTGAAAGACACAATGTTCCAAACAACTCCCGTCCACTAACCCGGAACCTAACTGAGGCTCCTGGAAGACAGTGTTCCTTTGACACAGGTATCGGTGGTGAGTTCTGGGCTGGGGAATTGTCGCCAAATGTTCGGTTGTTAGGGCTGTTAGGTTTCTTCTACTTTGCAAGTCTCGAGCGAGTGTCTCAGACATGGAGAGATAGTCCCATCTCTCACATGCTGCACTTGGCCAAAAGGCCTGCACAGGGTCTTCCCAAAATACATGAAGTGCAGAAACTTGCCAAGTCTTGAGGCACACCCCACTGCACCCGAGGGTCCCTCGAAGGGCCAACAGGCACCAAGGGTTTCGGCGGAAGGCCGACCGAGAGTTCGACCGAGACGCCTCGGTGGAGCCATCCCGCCAGGTAACGCTGCATAAGCCCAGCTCCGGCGAGCCATTGTTCACCACCTAGCAAAATGAAGGACACAGCGGGGGGCTAAACAGGGGTTCTGGAAACATATACCACTCCTGTTTTGTGTTTTTTGCTTTTACGCAATAGGCTTGCTACTGCAAGTGGAGCTTTTCGCTTTGACTGCAAGGATAAAGACACCTAGCGGCAACCATGTTTGGCCCCCCATTTGCTTCCCAAGTCTTGAGTGATCATCCCTGAAGGACTGCCATGCCTGATCTTCCTAAGTCAACCATTGAAAGAAAGCAGTGGGAAGCGAGAAGTAGGGAACAGCTGTGTTGCCTGTGGGTGAGGACGGGGTCTGCAACTCTTTGAAGGATCCCCATGCAATGGGCCTGAACGAAGTGAAGGTGACGAACCCACTGAATACATCGTGGGAAACACTTGCCACTAGCGGGTTACACCCACCGGAAGGCTGTGAAGTTCCACGCAGGGTACCGTTGGACGCCCCAATGTCCCGATGGTTCCTTGTCTCTTTAATCGAAAGGCCGGCAAGCATGTCCTTGAAGTTATGCTGCCCTCCCTTATTCTGCTGTCCAAGTGAGCCAGGTGGCAGGTTTAAATGGAAGCG